GGCCATATCTGACTTTCAGTATTTATTGCAGCCAGTCAGGAATATGAATCCTGGCTGGTATTGCCTCTCCCCCCAGAGAATTGCAGTGTTCCACTGCTATCTTGGCTCAAAACAATGAACTTGACATGAACCAGATGGTTAGAGTTTGGGCAAGATGCTAGGAAGCACTTCTACATACAAAAGACTGGTAGAAATTTGGACCTCTAAGGTCTCTTTGTTCAGAGAGAGTGCAGGTTCATAGTTCCTTGAAAGTGCAACTATCCTAAGTAGCTAGGATAGTAATAAAGGCATTTGGTATGCTTGCCTTTATTGGTCAGTGCATTGAGTATAGGAGTTGGGAGGTCATGTTGCAGCTGTACAGGACATTGGTTACTTTTGGAATACAGTATGCAATTCTAGTCTCCCTGCTATAGGAAGGACGTCATGAAACCTGAAACGGTTCAGAAAAGATTTACAAGGATGTTGCCGGGGTTGGAGGGTCTGAGCTACAGGGAAAGGCTGAATAGGCTGGGGCTATTTTCCCTGCAGTGTCAGAGGCAGAGTGGTGACCTAATGGAGGTTTATAAAGTCATGAGAGGCAAGCAAGACGAGGTCTTTTCCCTGGGATGGGAGAGTCCAAAGCTAGAGGGCGTAGGTTTAAGGTGAGAGGGGAACATTTAAAAGGGACCTAAGGGCAACTTTTTCACACAGAGGGTAGTCCATGTAAGAAATGAGCTGCGAGAGGAAGTGGTGGAGGCTGATACAGTTACAACATTTAAAGGGTGTCTAGATGGGTTTATGAATAGGAAGAGTTGAGAGGGATGTGGGCCAAATGCTGGCAAATGGGACTAGATATATCTAGGATATCAGGTGAGCATGGACGAGTTGAATCGAAGGGTCTGTTTCTGTGCTGTACATCTCTATGACTGTAAATGACCATTGTTGCTAGAGCAATTGTTAATTTTGGACCTGATATACAGATAAATTCTTATTAAACAACAGTATTAAGGAATATGGGCCAAAAGCATGTATATGGAGTTAGACCACAGTCAGCCATGATCTCATTGAATAGCAGAACAGGTTTGAAGGGCTGAATGACCTACTCCTGTTCAATGTACCTTGAAGAAAATGTAAATGTCTGAGATCTGGCTGCTGATGCTTTGTTCAGGTATAGTAAGCCTCTGTTGAGTTCTGAGTAAGGATCACTCAAACCAAAGAACACTACAGCACAAGAACAAGCCCTTACGTCCTCCAAGCCTGTGCCGACACATTTTCCCCTTCCATACTAAAACTGTCTTCACTTACATGATCCATATTCCTCTGTTCCCTTCCTATTCATCTATTCGTTCAGGTCCTTCTTGAATACTGCTATTGTGTCTCTCTCCACCACCTCCTCTGGCAGCGCGTTCCAGAAACTCACCACCTTTTGTGTGAAAAACTTGCCTCACACGTCTATTTCAAGCACGTTCCATTCCCCACTACTGCCGCACCTTGAACCTGTGCCCCTTAGAAATTGACCTTTCACCCTGGGAAAAAGCCGCACATTCTCTACTCTATCCATCCCATACCAGGCAACATCCTGGTAAACGTCTTCTGTATCTTCTCCAAAGCACATCCTTCTGCTAGTGTAATGACACAATATTCCAGCTGTGGCCTAACTAAAGTTCCATAAAGCTACAGCATACCCTGCCTATTGTTATACTCAGTACCCCTTCCAATGAAGGTAAGCATGCCTTAGGTCATTTTTACTACTTTACCTACCTGTGCTGCCACCGTCAGTAATCTGTGGACCTGCACCCCCCCTGCATATCAATATTCCTGAGGGTTCTGCCAATCACTCTATAATTTCCAATATGCATCACCTCACATTTGTCTGGACTAAACCCCATCTGCCATTTTTCCGCCCATGCCTCCAACTGATTATATCCTGCTGTATCCTCCTCATTATCTGCAATTCCACCAATCTTTGTATTGTTTGCAAACTTACTAATTAGATCAGCCAAGGTTTCTTCCAAATCATTTATGTAGACCACGAATAGCAGAGGTTCCAGCACTGAGCCCTGTGGGACACCACTAGTCACAATCCTCCATTCCGAAAAGCATTCTTCTATTGCTACCCACTGTCTCCTATGACTAAGCCAGTTCTGTATTCACCTTGCCAGCTCACCCCTGAGACCATGTGACTTCACCTTTTGTACCAGTCTGCCTTGTCAAAGGCTTTACTGAAGCCCATGTAGACAACATCAACCACTTTTCCCTCATCAATCTCTTTCTCACCTCCTCAAAAGACTCGATTAAGTTGGTGAGGCACGACCTCTCCCACACAAAACCGTGCTGTCTATTGCTAATAAGTCCATTTGCTCCTAAATGAGTGTAGATTTTGTCCCTGAGATTCTTTTCCAATAATTTCACTACCACCAACATGAGCCATACAAGTCTTTAATTTCCTGGATTTATCCCTGCTATCCTTCTTAAACAATGGGACAACATTGTATTCTTTTTGGCCACAGGTGAGGTGCCAGGAGACTGAAGAATACCAAAGATATCTGTCAATGCTCCAGCAATTTGTTCTTTGGACTCCCTCAATATTCTGGGATAGACTCCATCAGGACCCAGGGACTTATATGCCTTAATATTTTTTAAGACACACAATGCCTCTTCCTTTTTAATAGCAACTTGGCTTAGAAATTCGACACTCCCTTCCCCGAGATCATCCTCCAACAATTCCGCCTCTTTGGTGAATACCTACACAAAGTATTTGTTTAGGACCTCACCTACTTCTGGCTCTACATATGGATTCCCTCCTTTGTTCTTGAGTGGGTCAACCCTTTCCCTGGCTACCCTCTTGCTTTTTATATATGTATAAAAAGCCTTGGGATTCTCCTTAATCCTGTTAGTTAATGACTTTTCATCACCCATTTTAGCCCTTCTAATTCCTTTTTTAAGTTCTTTCCTACTATCCTTTATATATTTCAAGGGCTTCTTCAATTCCCACCCTCCTAGACCTTGCATATACTTCCTTTTACTTTTTGACCAAGGTCATAACATCCCTGGCCATCCAAGATTCGTGTAACTTGCCATTCCTATCCTTCATTCTCGCAGGAACATGCCACTCCTGAACTCATGTCAACCGCTGCTTGAAATACTCCCACATGTCTGATGTGGATTTACCCTCAACAACCACTTCTAATCAAAATTCTCTAGTTCCTGCCTAATATTGTTGTGGTTCGCCTTCTCCAGTTTAACACCTTCACCTGAAGACTGCTGTTATCCCTATCCATGAGTAGCTTAAAACTCTCAATATTATGGTCATTACTCCCAAAATGCACCCCCGTTGAAACTTCACTCACCTGGCTGGGCTCATTTCCCAAAACCAAGTCCAGTATAACCCCTTCCCCGGTTGGACTGTTTGCATACTGTGTCAAGAAACACTCCTCAATGGCCCTTACAAAATCTGCCCCATCCAATCCCCTATCATGTAGTGAGTCCCAGTCAACATAGGAGATCTTAAAATCACCCATCACAACGACCCTGCTGTTTTTACATCTTTCCAAAGCCTATCTACATATTTTCTCCTCTATCTCCTGCTGGATGTTGGGAGGCCTGTACTATACCCCCAACATTGTGATTTCACCTTTCCTACTCCTGGGTTCTACCCAAACTGCCTCGCTGCATGAACCTTCTGCTGTATCCTCCCTCAGTACAACTGTGAGATACTCCTTTACCAGTAATGCCACTCCCCCATCCCTTTTACATCCCCTTCTATCACACCTGAAACAACTAAGTCCTGGGACATTCAGCTGCCAGTCCTGTCCCTCTTTCAGCCAAGTCTCCATCACAATAATGTCTTAGTTCCAAGTACTAACCAAAGTTCTAAGTTCATCTACCTTGCCTATTATACTTCTCGCATTGAAAGACTTGCATTTTAGACCAGCTCCCCTTCACTTTTTAGCAGTGTTTCCCTGCCTGCTCTTGTTCTTAGTCCTGTTTGCCTTGGTTTCTACCTCTCCTTCAATTTCTAAATCTACTGCCCTAGTCTGGTTCCCATTCCCCTGTCATACTAGTTTAAACCCTTCCCAACTACTCTACCAAGTAACCCCCCCCACCCAAAGACATCAATGCCAGTCCTGCCCAGGTATAACACATCCAGTTTGTAAAGGTCCCCCCTCCCCCACAACTGGTCGAAATGCCCCACGAATCTGAAACCCTCCTCCTCTTATCCTATATATCCTGCTGTTTCGACTCTGACTACCTTGTGGCACTTGTAGTAATCCTGAGATAACTATCTCTGAGGTCCTACATTTCAACCTTCTTCCTAGTTCTCTATATTCTGCTTTTAGGATCTTATCCCTTTTTTTTTACCTATGTCAGTCGTACCAACTTGAACCATGACCACTGGCAGTTCGCCCTTCCCCTCCAGAATGTCGTGCAACTGCTCCAAGACATCTAGGACTCTAACACCATTGAACAGAGTGCCTATCTATTCCCCCTATGATTGAATCCCCTATAAACAAGCATTTCTATGCCTATTTCTCCCTCCCTCTACAGCAGAGTCAGCTGTGGTGCCATGCTGCTGCTGTTATCCCCTGAGAGGCCATCCCCCTCAACAGTATCTAAAACGGTATATGTTTTGCATGGAAATAGCCGCAGGAGATTCCGACACTGCCTGCTTCACCCTCCTGCTCTACCTGGTAGTCATAAGTTCCTTTCCTACCTGTGGAGTCTGAGTCTGCGGTGTGACCGTCTCTCTATACATGCTATCCACAATACTCTCAAAACATTAACTCTGATTTCCCTTCACAGCTGCTGCCAGACCTGCTGAGCTTTTCCAGCAACTTCTATTTTCATTTGATGTCAATAATACGTGTCTGCTTTGCCATCGGTTTTGTTGCCATTGCATCAAACTGTTACAGGGGCCCATAACTGTCCCTCTTTCCAGCAGTTTGATGTTTTTTTCTGTTCAGATGCTTTTCTCCAAACATTTGCTATTAATACCCATTTTTTTAAACTTTACATTGCAGGAAATAGATTGGCAAGCCTTGCTTGCCAAGAAAGTGAAACCACCTTTTGTTCCCACCATCCGTGATCGGGAGGATGTCAGCAATTTTGATGAAGAGTTTACAGCAGAAGAGGCAACACTGACCCCACCACGAGAGCCCAGGATTCTCACCGAGAAGGAGCAGATTATGTTTAAGGAGTTTGATTATGTCTCAAAATATTGTTAATGTTCTTCGACTGCCTTGTCCAGCAATAATTCTAGTCACTGGTTTCATATTTTCAAATCTTAAAAGCAGCCCATGTCTGTGGAACCGTGCTCTGAAATGTGATGCAATCCCTCTGCTTTTTTTCAAAAAAAAGCTTTTATTTATATATATTTTTTGATCAATCTTAATTTTTTATATTTCTAGAAACCTTAACAAATTAAGTTTGCAAGCAAATTGACCTGCTGCACCAGGAGCCTCTGACGCTCTTTGTCAGGTCACGCTGTTACCTTGTTGTACTGAGAACCTCACTTTCCCCTCATGACAAAATCCCACCCTGCTCCCACATTATGTCACACTATCACTCTGCTGTACCTGGACTGACACCCTCAATCATGATTAGTAGATCTAAAAGGATGCTATTCGACCAGGTTCATTTGCGAGCAACTGCGGGACTGCTGGATAGAATTACAATGAATTGCAATTAGTTCAAAAAAGATCAGATTTTAGAGTTGGTTAGGATTGAGGAACAGGGGACTGCAGCTTCTTGGTTTCTTTTATGTTTCAGTTGCACTTTTCCAGATCTGTCTGATGTTCCAATTATCTTTAAAGATTCTGCTCACGGTGAATAATGTGACAGTGATACAGTGTCTGTGCAGCCCCTTGCATCTACCCACACCTACCATAACCAGTCACAGTCCTGCCCCAGATCTCCACAAGTCAAAACAGCACTCATGTCCTTCTCTCTCATATTCCAGCTCACCATATTGAGGAGGTTGTGTTATGTATGTAGTAGTCACTTCACTGTATGCCTGGTGTGCCTGTAGCCTCTACAAGTAACAAATTGGTGATCTTGTTATCGTGACTTGGTTTACATATTAATTTAGAAGCTTAAAACACAAGTAGATACAAATATCAGCACAGCTGGGGCTAATTGCACTGACACCTGGAGCATAAGCTCATCAATCTTTGAAATGAACGTTCAGTCAGTGTGGAGCTGAACCTGTTCGGTTTCTGTTGCACCTCCCTCCCCCACTTGAATCCAGATGACTACTGCCTTACAGGATGGAAATCTGTCCAGTCAAGCCTTTGTGACAGTTGTACAGTTGAGGGCATTAAGGTTACAAAAAAGTACTGCAGGTACTGGAGATTTGAAATTAAAGATAGAAAGCGCTGGAGGAGCTCAGCAGGTTGGACAGCATCAAAGGAAAGAGAAAAGCAAGTTAACAAGTTGAGTCCGAATTCATTCCTCTTCACAAGTACTTCTTCCAAAGAAGAGTCGTCTTGAATTTGAAATTAATGCCCTTTCTCTCTCTCTCTCTCTCTCTCTCTCTGCTGATGCAGCCAGATTGCTGAGTTTCTCTAACATTTTTTTATTTAAGGTCTATCATGTTGGCCTTGCTGGATGCCCAGTTGCCCAGAGGAGTTTCACAGTAGCTCAGTGGTTAATACTGCTGCCTCACAGTGCCAGGGATCCAGGTTCAGTTCCAGCCTTGGGCAACTGCCTGTGTGGAATTTGCACCTTCTCCCTATGTCTGCGTGGGTTTCTGCCAGGTGCTCCAGTTTCCTTCCACAGTGCAAAGATATACAGGTTAGGTGGATTGGCTGTGCTAAATTACCCATAGGGTCCAGGGATGTGCTGGCTAGGTGTGTTAGCCATGGGAAATGCACGGTTACAGTGATAGGGTAGGGAAATGAGTCTGGGTAGGATGCTATTTGGAGAGTTGGTGTGGACTTGTTGGGGCAAATGGCCTGTTCTATTTAAAAAAAGAGATACTGGAATAAAAAGAGAAGCTTGCAACTTTAATTTGATCTCCAGCAACTGTAGGACTTTGTTTTTATTTTGGGGCCTGATGCCAGAGTTGGATTTCCAGTTGTGTACACTGTTGATGTTTCTCTCATGAGAAATGTTATAATTAAATCTTGCCTTGCATTCCTGTTCCTCCCCAAGGATACCCCACTTAGAAATGCTGCTGATGTTCCTCTGGGGAGATATGTCTCAATCATTATTCCAGATACTCCTTTGAATGAGCCAATGGGTGTTAGCTGGTATACTCTGAAGGATTCTTAACCTCTTCTATGATTGCGCTGGTCCCAATTCCAACTTGGCTGTCACTGTCTCCACAGTTAACCTAAAGCCACTTCTTGTCATTAGCCATTGCAGAATGCCTGAAACTCAAGCCTAACCCGATACAAATGAAGGATGGAAAGCATGATCTTGAATGAAGGGCTAAAGACTGAACATGCTACTGAAATCCCCAGAGGGGCCATTAAGGCTGTTACTGTTACTATCCACTCCAAGGTCATTCTGCCCCATTAGCAACAATAGCTTAGATTGTCAAGGAAACTTGACTATTTTTTTATTGATAGAAAGGTGTATTTTTTAAAAGAACAAATCTTATTGGTATAAATAGCTTTTTTTTTCTTGTTTAATGTATCATTACCACCATTCTTTGAATAAGATGATTTAGCCAGTGTGGAGACTGCTGACTGTTTATTCAAACCCTTCCCTGGACACAGCCTCACTACATGTAATGTATTTAATGTTATTTAAAGTAGTTATCCTTGCCTGTGATGGTACAGTCACATCTCTTAGCAGCCAAAGGGTGTGTGCCTGAGGGTTTGCACCCAGACTGTCACATGAATTCCTGAGGGTTTGCACCTCAGAGTGCCAGTTGCATGCCCATGAGTGTGCACTGCAGGAGGTTTGGATGCATGTCTGAGGGTGTGCACCACAGAGGTTTCAGGTGCGTTCCTGAGGTTGTGCACCATGGAGTGTCAGACGATGGAATGAAGTTTTGGGACTGCTTTCTTGTGGTGGTGGCCTTGCAGTTTGTGAGTCACAAAGACTAGCAGATCATGTCAAACTGTATGCCCCTTCGACTATTTTCAACAAGCAAGGCACTGCCCATACCCACAAGACCATAAAAAGTAAGAAGAGTAGGCCATTCAGGACCTCAAGCTTGCTCCACCACTGAATAAGATCATGGCTGATCCGACATTCCTCACATCTACTTTCCTGCTTATCTCGTGTAACCATTTAATCTTCCTTAATCTATCTGTCTCAGCCTTAAATGTGCACAAGGACTCCACTGTTCTCTGTAACAAGGAATTCCAAAGAAATTGAACGTTCTGAGAGAATAATTTCCTTCTAGTCTGAGTCTTAAATTGGTGCCCCTTTATTTTGAGATTATGGCCTCTGATACCAAATGATCCCATGTGGGGCAACATCGTCTCAGCATTTACCCTATCAAGCTCATTAAGAACCCGATATGTTTCATTGAGATCACTGCTCATTCTTCTAAACTCCAGTGAGTAGTGTCCCAATCTGTTAGCATTTGCTCAGAAGACATTCCCTCTATACCAGGTCCTTGTTAACCTTCTTTAAACTGCTTCTAATGAGTTAATATCTTTTCTTAGATAGGTAGATCAAAACTGCTTATAGTATTCCAGTACCCAATCAGTAAAAATCATAACATAGTGTCCTCCATCATGAAATTTTCTGGATAATCCCGAGTGTGCGAAAAATTATGCTGACAATTAATTTAGGATTGTCAGTTGGGTTTGCAGTGTGGCACACTTACATGTATTGAAAGCTACATATGTTATTGCTGTGGGAGCTTTGCAGATTGAAGGAATGTATACACACTGCATCTGTTTCCTCTCTACAAAATGAGTGACAGTCATTGCTGGTTCATTTCTCGTCAGTGTTTGGCAGTTAACCGTCAATCAACATTCATAGATGCATTCTCCGTCATAGCACGTCCAAAGAGTCCACTTACCAACCAATCAGCACACCCTTGTCATGCAGTATTAAAGTTGTTTGTCCCCTTGCAAATTATTCTGATGAGTGAAAGACAGAGAGCTCTGATAAAATGTGCCCTTTTCAGCAATCTTGTGTTCTGTGGTGCCAAATGACTAAAGCATTTCCTGTTTAAGAGAAAGCTGTTTAAATTCAATGTGTGCTCATCCCAGATGCAAACATTGGTGAATTTGCATTCCCCCATTTCTGTCCTTTCCATCAGCAATTGGCTGGGTAATAATTGTGTAGCTTTAGTTTGTTTATTATCATTGCTCCGTTTCTATCCCTGTGTTCACACATGCCAGTCATGGACAATGAAAATTTGTGCTAATGCTGCTTCAGTTTCTGATAATACCAGGCTCTATCTTTGTCAGACACTGCCTGCATAGGAATACCCAATCTTCCCAATTGCATCCATGTGATGGTTAATATCAGTAGTGACCACACGTTTCAAATACTTCGTTATTTTCTAAGAATCAGAAGGAATTACTGCAAGCTCAGATTTACACGTTATTATTTTAAAATCTGCTGGTCTGTATTTTGATAAAGTTACCAACTAGAACATTGAGGTCCAGATTTCAGATGTATATCTGTATGATCCTTAGTAACAACAAATCTGCGAATTCCCTGTAATCACATTTGCAAATGAATCTAACCTCCACATCTCAACATTACCAGAGTGAGATTGTCTCTACAGGATGTTAAATTACCATTACCCTGATCGACATTAGTGCTAACGGTATTCAAATTCTCAACTGTACGTCCAATTAATCCCCATTGCATTTGGTAACTGTGTTGACACCAGTTAATCCCAAAATAAGATCAAACTATTTCCTTAAATGTCAATTAAGTCCTTAGTCAAAAGTCACACAGGTTTATTTAAAGTCACAAGCTTTTGGGAAGTGGTCAATGCACTCTCCCCTTCTGGAATCAGTGCTCACAATGTGCTAGACACATTGTTGTTTCCCCTTTTGGGTCACTGTATCTGTCTTATTACAGTATGCATTTGCCCTTGGGTATTGCAGGCAGCTTTTGGACATATTTTGTACTTGTCTGTTGTTGTCACTGGCATTGGTTTTGAAACACATTTCACAAGAACAAAAGAGAAGTAGAGTACAGGAACAGGCCCTTCGGCCCTCCAAGCCTGTGCTGATCATCGTGACCTGACTAACCTAAAAAACAAACCTTCTGCCCTTATTTGGTCCATATCCCTCTATTCCCTCCCTATTCATGTAACCATTCAGATGCCTCTTAAATGTTGCCAATGTGCCTGCTTCCACCACCTCCTCTGGAAGTGCATTCCAGGCTCCTACCACTCTCTGAGTGAAAAACTTTCCTCGCACATGTCCCGAAAACTTTTGCCCCCTCTCACCTTGAATCTGTGCCCCCCTTGTAATTGAAGCTTTACCCCTGAGAAAAAGCCTCTGACTATCCACCCTATCTATGCCTCTCATAATTTCGTAGACCTCCATTAGGTCTCCTCTCAGTTGCCGTCTTTCCAGTGAAAACAATCCTAGTGTTTTTAACCTTTCCTCACAGCCAATGCCCTTGAGACTGGGCAAAATCATGTTGAACCTTCTCTGCACTCTCTCCAAAGCTTCCACGTCCTTCTGGTAATGTGGCAACCAAAACTGCACACAATACTCCAAATGTGGCTTAACAAGGGTTTTATATAGCTGCTAGAGATAACAAAGTGTGGAGCTGGAGGAACACAGCAAACCAGGTAGCATCAAAGGAGCTGACGTTTCAGGTTGGGACTCTTCTTCAGAAAAATGATGCTGCCCGGCATGCTGTGTTCCTCCAGCTCCACAGTTCTGTTATCTCTGACTCCTGCATCAGCAGTTCTTGCTATCTCTCTTTTATATAGCTGCAACATGGTTTGCCATCTCTTGTACTCCATGAAGGCAAGCTTGCCATATGCCTTCTTAATCACTTTGGCCACCTGTGTTGTTACTTCCTTGTTATTACTTGTTTGGGTGCCTTCCTCACTGTTAACAATAGAACACATTCTTTTGATTTACCATGAACAGAACAAAATGAGTACAAGATAGCAAGGAATTTATTTGAACTCCATATCCCCCACTAAAGAAGCCCTGTCTTTTCCTTCTCTGGGTCTGAGTGTAACAGTAGTTTAGATATACTGTCATTTCTCCCTCTGAGACCCAGAGCCTGAGTGTTAAATGCACTGTGAGTTCGTATTCTGGCTCTGGGTGTGACTAGTGTGTTGGATATAATGTCAATTCTATCTCACAGTCCAGGTGTTATATAAACATACAAAACAGGAGAAAAAGTAAATAATTCAGCCCCTCGAGACTGCGTGCCATTCAATCAGATGATGGCTGATGTTCTAAGCTTTGAATTCCATAATATCATCTACCCCTGACAACCTGCATTTCCCCTGCCTGGCAAGGACCTATCTACCACTGTCTTAGAAGCATTCAAAACCCATTTTCACCCCTTTCTGAGGCACAGAGTTCCAAAATTAGACAACCCTGAGAGAGAAAAAAAAACACTCTTCCCTCTCTGTACTGAAAGAGCAAAGTCTTATTTAAGTGGGGCCCTCTAAATCTGGTTTGACCAATGAGACGAAACATCCTTTCAACCACCACTACACGCCCCCACCTATCCATCCAGGTCGTCAAATTAATGCTTAAATCCAGTAGAAACTGACGTGGCCTGCCCATCACATCCTTGTAAAAACAATCTACTAAAACATCCCTGAGCCGCCATTTAATGCAGTTACATCTTGACTTTTTAATTCATTGTCACGTGTATCTTGTTACACAATACAATGACAAGTGTTGTATAAGTGTTGCCGCTCTCTGGCACCATTTTAAAACATAGAAAGATAAACCAAAACATAGAATATAAAGGCAGAAAAACGAAGAAATAAAGAAAGTATCCAACTTTACAGTCATTCTTTCTCATTGCTCTGCCATGGGCATGGGGGACCAGACATGAGTCCCCTTCGCTGTGCTGCCACCGCTGAAGCGAGAGTTGCCATTCCTCGGTGCCATCTTGCCTCCACCAATGCCCTCAGCACTATGAGCCGTCCCTGTAACTTGCCAATGCAGATGTCACTGATGCTGCAAGGTACTGTGCCAACCCAAACTCAACTCCGCCGCCCCATGAGGCAAATTCGGGCCCATCTTGCCAGTGCAGCCTGTGCTGGGCTCAGACACTGCCCTGAACCTAAACCTGCCTGTGGCACCACCACCCGTGCTGCTGGGCCTACTCACTGCGCCTGAACTCTTCACCGAAAGGTAAGTAAAATGGAAGAGATGAGAGGAAAAAAACATAAGGATGGGAAAGAAAAATGAGAGAAAAAAAAATGACGTGGATGACCCCCAAACTCAGAAGACCTACTACACAGCCATCTTAATGAAAAAAAATCAAACCTTATAAGGAGAGGAAAACTGCACACTCTGTTCATAGTTCAGTCTCACCAAAGCCTTATATAAGCAAAGTACATAATTCTTACTGTAATCTTTAATTCCATTTGTAATAAAGGGTAGTACCCCATTATCCTTCCCAAATACATGCTGCCCTCCATATTAGCGTTTGGAAGGACAATGTGTTAGGGGCTCAGTGGTTGGCATTGCTGCTTCACAGTGCCAGGGAACTGGGGTTCAGTTCTACCTCAAGTGAATGTGTGGAGTTTGTACATTCTCCCCATGTCTGCATGGGTTTCCTCCGGGTGCTCCGGTTTCCTTCTACAGTCCAAAGATGTGAAGGCTAGGTGGATCGCAGATGGTAAATTACCCCGTGGTGTCCAGGGATGTGCAGGCTAGGTGAATTAGCCATGGGAAATGCACAGTTACGGGGGTGGATCTGGGTAGGATGCTGTGGGGAGGGTCAGTGTGGACTGGATGGGCCAAATGGCTTGCTTCCACACTGTAGGGATTATATGATAGACTGCCATTTTCCTCTGTGAGACCTGGCCTCACAATGTGTTAGACACACCGCCATTTCCCCTTCTGGGTAACTATCTGTCAGGAAAAAATGTGCCCCTGAATCTTGTAGGCAACTTTTGGACATATTTTGTACTTGTCCAGCATTGTCACTAGCATTTGTTTTGAAACACTTTTCCTCATTACAACCTGCTTGTGCATTTTCTCAGTGTTAACAATAGAACACATTCTGCACGTTTACCATAAATGGAACAATATTAACAATGTGAAGCTAACAGATTGACCTTGATCCACTCCCTATATACATGATAGAAAGGAATTTATTTGAACATCTGTATTCCCCGCCAAAGATATCCTGTCTTTTCATTCTGTGGTTCTGAGATCCACCTAGCCTTCACATCTTTGGACTGTAGAAGGAAACCGGAGC